GCGGCGCGGGGCCTAGGCCGGCAGCGTGCCCGCGCCGCTCCCACCGCGCCCGCCCGCCGCGGGGCTGTCCCCCCAACTGCCCGGGTCACGGCCTTCCGGCCGGGGGCGCAACCAAGCTACCTGTGGGTTGCGAAGGGCCATGGCGGCCCGTTTCAATGGGACTCGGCGCTGCTCCGGCGCCTCACGCCGCGTCCCCCGCCGCCGCCATCTTCTCGCCGCACGTCCACGCTCGCAGCGGCCGTCGCGCCTGCGCACTGCCGCGCCGGGGGCGGGGCAGGGCGGCGCGGTGCGCGGTGCGCCTGCGCGCCCCCGGGGGGCGTGCCCGCTCTCTGCGCACCACCCGCGGAGCCCACCGCCTGCACCGCCCATCGCCCGCCCTAGCCTGGAACCGGGCCCGGCCGCCTAGGGTCGCGTGGAGACTGGGGGCGAAGACGCGGCGGCCTGGGGTCGGGGGTCGCCTGCCGGACCCCGGGGCCGCGGAGTGGTCGCCGCAGGTGCCTGCCGCCCCCTGGCTCGTGGAGACCCCTTTCCTCCCCTTTATTCCCTCTCGTTCGAGCGCGCTGCAGCGCTGGGCCTGAGTGCAGCGCGTGGCGGTGGCCGCGGCCCCCGGGCTCCTCGCCCTGGGGAGCAGGCGCCCCGCGGGCGGCCGCAGCCAGCGCGGCGACCACCCGCCCTCTGGCTGTGTGATCCGGACTAGGCGCTGGGCTTTCCTCAGCCCTGGTGTCCTCTCCCGTGGTGCGGACGGATCAACGCCTTGCTCACGATGTCAGAGAGCCCAGCGGCCCAGCGAGCTCTCTGCATCACCACGAGGGCAGGTTTCCTGTCAGCCGGTGTCTGCAGATGCCAGCAAGCCCCAGCCCACGTTCCTGTAGCAGCGGGCTGGGAAGGGGATGCCAAAGTGGAAGGAAGGACTGTTCGGAAATAAAGCTGACAGCAACCAAATACAATGCATCGACCTCGATTGGCTCACGGTGTTTTTTAAGCTTGTTTCACTATATATTTTCTGCCAATTGGAGAACTTTGAACATGGATTGCGTATAGATGAATAGTGAATTATTGGTGATTTTCAGAGTGTAAAAATGATACTGTGCTCATGGAGAGAATATCCTCATTGTTAGAAGATGCATCCCGAAGAAGTTAGGGGTGAATATGAAGAAGTTAGGGGTGAATATTAAAGCCTGCAAACTTTTTTAATGGATCAACATAAAGAGTGGGAGGAGGCCGGTGGCACACAGCTGTAATCTCAGTGGCTTGGGAGGCTGAGACAGGAGACTTCGAGTTCAAAGCCAGCCTCAGCAACTTAGTGAGGCCCTCAAAATTAAAAAAAAATAAAATAATAAAAATTTAAAGGGCTGGGGGTGTGGTTTAGTGATTAGGCACCCATAGGTTCAATCCTTGGTACCAAAAAAAAAAAAAAAAATCTGTATCATCCAGATGCATAGAGACAGAAAATGTGGCAAATGTTAATACTTGTCAAAACTGAGTTATGCTATTTTTCAACATTTCTGTGTTTGAAAATTTTGATAACAAAAAGATGGGGAAGACACCACATGAAACTTTCTTGCACATGGAGAGCGCTCCCGTGAGGGCTAGGAAAGCCTACTGGTGATTTACAGTAGGCATGTCATTGTGTGATTTTTATCATAATGTTGCTTGAGCAAAAAATACAATTTTAAGAAGTGAGTCTCAGTCTTCACTTTCGAATAATTCACAGAGATGTTAACACATGGCTTTTAAAACAAGGAGATAAATGGGAAAACGCTGTTGGCCCAGGTACTTGCCATGAGTATAGGGTCAGTGGAGGAACTTCAGAATTCCCACTGGCTGTGTGAACTATGGCAAGCTGCCTAACCTTTCTGTGAGGGTCTTGCCTGATGAGATGTGGTAGGCAGAATAAGACCCTCGAGACACCCCAAAGATATCCACATCCCAACCTTGGGAGCCTGGGACTTCGAGGCCTTCCATGGTAGAAGGGAGGCTGCCAGGGTGATTACATTCAGAACCTTGAGAGCACACCCTGGATTATCCAGGGGTGTCCCCTGGCATCACGGAGGTTCTTACAGGGAAGCAGGAGAAAGGGGGTCGGAAGACAAGGAGGTGTGCTGCAGAAGCAGCTGGAGAGAGGGAGGGGTTCAAGAGGCTGCTGAGGCTGACTCTGAGGTGGGAGAGGAAGGGAACCAAGGAGTGCAGGTGCCTCTAAAAGCTGGGAAGAGCAAAAACTTCCCTCCAGAGTCTGCCGAAGGAGCACAGGGCTCACTGCCTGCGCCTCTGTCTAGCCCAGTGAGTCTTCTAACCTGAAGAACTGTAAAGCAAGCCTTCAGTGTGATCATTTGTTACAGCAGCAACAAATACAGGATAATTCCGCTGCCTCTTAGGCTCAGGCCAGGAGGAAATGAGAGGACCCCACACACAGGGCATGACCTTTCTACCTTCTGTTGAGCAGTGGTCATGACATTTTCATTATTGTCCCCTGGGAGGACAGGAGGCTTCCCCAAAGAGGTCACTTTGAGTTGGGTCCGCTGAGTGGGTGTTTTCCAGAGGGTCATGGGGATTGTGTTTCCCATTTATACCAGGGGAAACTGGTCTGTCACACAGCAGTTGGTTGTTGACCCCAGGGATCAGAGTTTTTCAATTTTCCTACCTGGGAAATATGTCTCTGGAATTCTGATAATACAGAAGTGTGTCATAGTTGTGTGACCCTGGGCAGGTTCCCAACCTCTCTGGACCTCAATTTCCTCATCTGTAAAATTCAGAGAAATAATACCTCCCAGGGATGTAGTGACAATGTGCCACAGTCTGACTGGGCACAAATGCCGCAGTCTGGCTGGGCACACAATCACGAGCCACCACACAGCTTGTAGATTCAAACAGCAACTCTTTATTCCCGAACTCACACCAGCCGTCTACAATCACGTTCTGGGGAAATCCACGTTCTCTGCCCAAATCCACGTTCTCTGCCCAAATTCACCTCCACTGGGCTTCTGTCTCCCAAATATATTGTCTGAATCCCGTGAGAACTCAAGGGGAACTCAGGCAGCAGGATACGCCCTATTCCCAGCAGGAATAATCTTAAACCTTAAACCTGGAACCTAAACCGGGAACGCCCTAATCCACCTTGGTCCTTGAGCAAGGTCACCTACATTCAATGTCACTGCAACATGGGGTACGCTGGCAAGGAAATTGTCATACCTACTTGGCTAATGGCTCCCAGCAACAATGAATATAGTACCAAGGTAACATGTAAGTTACGTAGCAAGATGTCTGACATAAATGGTGGAAACTGCCTGGGCCCAGTGGCACCTACCTCACCTCAGTAACTCAGGAGGCTGGGGCAAGAGGATCAAAAGTTCAAGGTCTGCCTGTGCAACTTAGTGAGAGCATGTCTCAAAACAAAATCATTTTTAAAAGGTGGGGATGTAGCTCAGAGGTAGAGGGCTTGCCCAGCATATACAAAGCCTTGGGTTCCATCTCCAGTACTGGAAAAAAAAAAAAAAGGTGAAATTATCATCATTATTTGCAGAAACATTAGAAAGAAAGGTGATGTCATCACAGGAGGGACTCAGTGACTTGACATTTGTTGCCAAAGACCGAATTCAAGCTTTCAAACAAAAATTAGAAACCCAGGTACCCCACATGAGCTAGATGGCGTCCCAAGAAGTAAAGATATTCTGATGCGATTGGTGTGATAGTAAGAAATGTGATTTAAAAAATAACGAATAATGGAAAGTTTGAACATTTGGAAGATATGCATAACTGAGTGAGTCAGTTTTTTCCAAACGACCAGTTCAGGATGTCATAAAATCATGCACATGTGTGAGCTGGGGGTGGGGTGCAAGCCTGTGGTCCTGGCTACTTTGGCCGTGACAGGAGAATCACATGAGCCCAGGCTTGCAAAGCCAGGTTCTCAGCCCTTTGCTTGCTCAAAAAGGACTCCAGGAGCCCTCGCCACAGTGGCTGTTCCTCTTCCTTCCTTCCCTTCATCCTGCTTTGCTTCTCCGCACTGATGAGTCCCAGGCTTCATCTGTGCTGTGCGTGCTTGACGTGTGCCGCCCCTCCACCTGGACCCAAGCTTCAGGGACTTGCCGCGTGGTCTTGTTCCCCAAATTTCTGCAACACCTAGACCAGGCACTCGAAGCTGCTCAAAAAATATGTGTTGAATGAATGAACAGATGACCTCATTTAATTCCCCCCAAACTCAATGCCAGGCTGGAGCTGGAGCTCATTGGTAGAGCACTTACCTCGCATGCGTGAGGCACTGGGTTCGATCCTCAGCACCACATAAAAATAAATTAAGTAAAATAAAGATATTGTGTCCATCTACAACTAAGAAACATATGTTTAAAAAAAAAAACTCAATGGGGCAGCTACTCCTGGTGTACGCACGGCAGGGCTGGGAATCTGAAGGAAGACTTGTCTAAACCGTGCTGCTCATACCTGATGCAGATCCAGAATAAAACATGCATTTGCCAAATGCAGAGTTTATGTCTGATTTAAAAATTGAGCCAAACCAAGTGCCATAAAAAGATGTTTCCGAGACACCCTGAGGGTGCTAGGCGCAGCCTTGAGGACCCCAGGAGCTGTTTACCAGGAAGCCACGCGGGCGATAGCGCTGTTGTTTAGGTACGGAAACGCGTGCTCTGGAAACCTAGACGGTGAAAGGGCACCATGTGTGGGATCTGCTTTAAAATATTTGAGGACAAAACAGAAAGAGAAAAGGAGTGAGTGAAGCGAATATGGCAAGGTCTTGATAAGGGCAGAATTCCAGGCATGTGGGAGAGAAGCATGAGCCTGGAGAGGCCAGAGGGGACAGGCCTGAGGGAGAAGAGACAGCTGGGAGGGCCCAGCACCAGGAGGCTTCCGAGGAGTCTCAGCAAGGCCATCCGGAGTCCTCGCGCCACCCTTGCCCATGAGAGGAGTCCCAGGCATCCAGGAAACACCCAGCCACCAGCTGCATTAGTCCCCCTCCAGCTGCTGTAACAAATAACCACACATTAGATGCCTTAAAGCAACAAAGATTCATTTTCTCACAATCCTGGAGGCTCGAGGTCCAAGATCCAGGCAATGGCAGGGCCATGCCCCCTCTGTTAGCTCTGAGAGGGTCTTAGCCCATTTTTTGTTGTTATAACAAAATACATGAGACCAGATAACCTATAAGAATAGAGGTTGATTTAGCTTGTCCTCCTGGAGGCTGGACGTCCAAGGCCACAGTCCCGGTGTCAGCAGAGGCCCTCTTACTACATCAGGACG